GCTCTGGGAGGCTGAGGCAGGAGGATCACTTCAGCTCAGGAGTTCGAGACCAGCCTGAGCAAGAGCGAGACCCCGTCTCTATGAAAAAAAAAAAAGAAAAAAAAATCAGCCAGGCAACTAAAAATAGAAAAAATTATCTGGGCATGGTGGCACATGCTTGTAGTCTCAGCTATTCGGGAGGCTGAAGCAGGAGGATTGGTTGAGCCCTGGAGTTTGAGGTTGCAGTGAGCTAGGCTGATGCTATGGTACTCTAGCTGGGGCGAAAGAGTGAGTCTCTGTCTCAAAAAAGAAAATAAAAAAATAAAAATATAAGCGGGGATAATTAGGCCCACTAACATCCATTCACGCCAACCTGGGTTGGAGAAAGCCAAAAAAAGGGAAATATGCTTGTGCCTCTCCTTTACCTCCCACTCCACTCTCCACTCTGACCTGGGGCCCAGAAGGAAGCTGGGAACCCTGGAACCTTCCCACAGCCCCGGTCATTACAGAGAAGGTGCCAATCAAAGACAGCAGGGCACAGGCACCAACCTGGGGACTTAGTTACTGAGAAGACCTCAGGCCACAGGGCCATGTGCAATGAACACCTCCAGGGAGAGGCAGAAGGGATGTTAACACCCTCCAACATGCTATATGTGACATTTCACTTATATCTCTATGTCCTTGTAGCAGAAGGTCAGCTTCCCAAAGGAAGGGATTTTTATCTGTTTCGTTCCTGCTACATCCCAAGCACCCAGATCTGTGCCCAGCACATGCCATGTGGTCAGTCAACATGTGCTGAGCGGAACAAATGAGAAAGTCCTGCTTACCTGGTTTCATTTTTCATTCTCCAGCCATCCCGACACTTGTGAAACCAGAGCTCTCGGCCAGGGGATATGCTGGTGTTCTCAGGGTCTTCTGCACAAAATGTCAATCTGGGAGGAAAACGAAACCACAGATGCAGCCAAAATTCTAGAGGGAATTCAGACCGTGCCTTATGGACCCGAGGCAGATGGAGTGGGGTTGGGGGAGTTTCATCGCACCACGCCCTGACTCAAGAGCCCCCAGAACTCCCATCGCTACTGCAAGGACTCTAAGCTTCCGTGATTGGGATCATGCAGCCTCAGCCACACTTCTCCCACCTTCTTCCCTCTATCTAAAAGGCCGCCTGCCATTCAAGGCCATCGCCTCTTGGAAGCCCCCCTGACTGTCCAAGCCCTCATTAATTTAGCCTTCCCTTGACCTCTCAACTTTGGGGAAAAAGTATATCCTTATATAAATGTGGCTTTGGTAAGTATTATTCATTATTTCTTCTAGCATGGAGTTAAAAATGAATGCTTTGTTTTATTTTAAAATGTTATACCCTGCTTGGAATTGCTTGTGGATTTCTCTGTAAGTTGACTTCTCCACTGGACTATAAGCTCCTCGAATGGAGAAATTCAAGGTACCTCCAGTCCAGTGCTCCAGAAACGCCCATTGATTGACAAGAGCAACTGGAAAGTAGCAGCAAGTCAAAATCAGATTCAGCAAATGGACAGCCAAGATCACAAGAAAGAATCAAGGGTCCAATAACCATTTCCCTATAACTTAGGGATGCAGCCTCGGGGGTGTGCGATTAGCCTGACCTGACGCTGCGGCAGATCAAAAGCCACATTCAGAACAGTTTAAGAACCTTCCTCAGGAAGCTCGAAAAACCTTAGGACCTATATGTTTATAAACGTATAAAAAGATGACCTCCCTTGCTCACAATCAGGAAGTGCAGAGGACCCATTTACACCCACCGGAAAGGCAAAACGCCCCACCAAATGTTGGTGAGGAGGCAGGGAAAAAGGAAATCTTATCCTATGGTTAAGATTTAAAATTAGTCTAACCATTTTGGAGAGGGATTTAATATTATCTGGGCGGGCTGGAGAATGCATATACTATATAACCCAGCAATTCCTCTCTTTAGTACACGTGCGGAAAAGAAGCCCTCCTACATGCGGTGCAAGGAAAATATACAAGGATGTTCATCTCCGCACTGTTTGTAACTATTGATACAAAAAGTAACAGCAACTTAAATATTCAGCAGAGCAATGGTAAAAACTATTGTTTGTACACTGGCAATTTACACACAGGAGCTAAAGGCAAGTAGACTAGAACTATACGTCTTGGATAAATTTCACAAACAATGTTTGAATGAAAAAAGCAACTTGTAAAATAATATGTCCACTCATGTAAAATTTAGAAGCATGCAAAACAATTCTATACATTGTTTATGGATGCAAACAGAAGTACTAATGGTATAAAAACTGGAGAGAAGGAAACATACTCACATTAGTTAGTGAATACTGAAATATTAGTTGTATTTGGTTTGAAAGGAAAGGAATAGGGTGGGGGAGGGGACCAAGGGGCTCCAACTACATCTATTATGTTTTACTTTTTTAAAATCTTATATCTGAAACCAATATGGAACAGTGTTTACATTTGTTAAGTGTCAGCAGTATTGATTTTATTTGAAATATTTAATAAAAAAAGATCATCTTTAAGCTATCACACCCAAAGGCCTATGCACTTACAAGAGCCCAGAGAAGTAAAAAGATACACAATTATCTAGATCACAAGAAGTTGGCACGGACAGCTGGCAGGTGTCTAGACCAGAATCACTCAGCCAAGGGCCCCAGATCTCTACTTCTCTTCCCTCCGCTGCCACACTGGGCCATAGCCCGTGAATGTAAACAACACATGTGAAGAATTACAATGGAGAAAATGCCAGAGGAGGGACAAAGCAGTTCCTCCCATGCCAAGGCTGGCAGTGACCTCTCCAGAGGTCGGCTGAAGGACTTGGTTCACGAAACCCTCCTCTCTTGACAAAGGTCTCCCAGGCGTCCCTGGCGTTGAGCTCTCCCTGGCTTCTGTTTGGAAAGCAGCCTGCTCAGAGAGTCAAGGCACAGTGTTAGGGGCCGATACAAAGGTCTGGATCCTTCATGCTAGGCGTGGGGTTAAAAGAAATGGGGAAAGTGCCAGCTGGCGTGGCACAGAGGATTCTCTGTTACTCGAAGTCGGGACCCCAGCCCCACGTCCTTGACTGGGAGCCTCTGAAGGAGAGGTGTAATAATGCTCTGAAAATAGGACACTGGGGAAAACCAGCTCCTCCCACAGACCTCACCCATGGGGGCTCCCTGGACGGGATATTCCGGTTTGCTCAGGGTGGAAGCAAACAAGCCTTTTGGTGCATGGACCCCACAGTAATGGATCAACAAAGCAGCACGCCCAAAGAGCCCCCTCCAGGAGAAGCTCCCCTTTCTCCGGACCAACGCCGGGCTTGGCAGACAGAACAGGGCTGGATTCCAGCCTCCACTCACCCTCCCCTCTCAGCCAAGGGCCTGTGACCAGGACACGAGATGTGCAACGGAAGCCGTGATCGGAGAGTCACTTTTGCTTGCCAGGTGTTTGGGGTTTTGCCTGCGTGCTCTGGCTATGGAGGGACCAAGGGTGGATGCCTGGCAAAGGAGAGGATGCCACGGAGGCACAAGTCCGCTCGCCCTTCCCTCGGGGCAGAGGGACAGGGCACTCACTTGCGCTGGGTTTCCCCAGACTTGACCCGGATGCGCCTGATGTTGAGCTCCCGCGCCGGGTTGCGGGGCTGAGACAGGTAGCTGCGCAGCTCCTTCCACAGGTTGTACCAAGACTGAGATGTGCCCTCCCAGGTGAGTTTGATCTTCAACAGGTCTCCCAAGTCCTCCTCGGTGTAGACCAGGAAGGTGTTGGTGGCGTTCAGCCCGATCTTCTCCACTCTGCAAGGCGAGAGAGAAGCTGATCTCACTCCCCTGCTGTCTGGAAAACTGCAGCACTGTGCAGGGTGACGGCGCCCACCCGGCACTGACTGGAGAGAGACAGGCGTGAGCTCCCTCCCCTGCCGCTGGCCTCCGCGTCCCACCAGCAGGACAAGAGTGGAAGCCCAGTTGTACTCTACATTACCAGAGAGATAACCATGCTCACAGCACCCCAGCTTCTTATCAAAACCATCCCGAGCATCTCCCCATGTGTGCTACTTGCTGGGGAGACAGGACCAGGACAGAGCAGAAATGAGGAAATACAAGGATGCCCCATCCCTGTCCCCACTCAACAGTGTTCTGTTCCTTTCAGTCCATGGGCATCTGTCTCCCTCCGAACTCCTAGCTGCTTCCTGCTTGTCCCTCTCAGGTGGCTCTTGGCATGGGCTGCCTCGCCCCATCTGTGCGTCAATGTGAGTGTTTATACAAACCTGGTCTTCCAGCTAGACCCTGAGTCCTGAGAAGTGAGTTATTTAATGACATTTCTTCACATTCCCAACATTACTTGACGTGGCACTTTGTCACTGGTGGGTACTCCACAAAGACATACAGATTGCTATGTGCCCCTCCCACAGCCAGATCATTAGGAAAGGTCCTGAGATGACGTTTATGAAGTTCCACATTGCCTAAAGCCTTGGGTGTCAGGCATCGCCTGGGATGAAACAGCAGTTTCTGTCCAGGTGACCCAGCGGCTGGTCTAGCAGCTTCTCATGCTGCTGATTCATCCTGGGAGCTTCCCTCCTGGAAATGTTCTGAGTCAACGGCTTGGTGGAAAAGTCATAGCCAGAGAGAGGACTGCAGAGGCCAGCAGGACCACCCAGCCCCTCCCGCAAGCAGTCAGACTACACTCTGCTGCACCCGGCACGGGTTTCCAAGCTCCCTTGCACTCTCTTGTTCTCAAACCAACTTGTTCTCTGTCCTGAACCCAGCAGAGGAAACTTGCAACTTACATTTCCAAAGGCAGAATCTGGGAATCCGCATCAGTGCCATAAAGGGTGACATAAAAGGTGGGCTCGATTTCTCCCATGTTCTTGTAACTGAAGACGTGGATTTTCATCTGATAATGGTAAACTGCGGAGACAGCAGAACAAAGACATTTGTGAGCCCAGCCTTGCTTGTCATGGCAGAGCACCCCGACCCAAACGGAGTCACCCAGCACACTGAGTTTGTAGGGATTAACGTCCTTTCACTCTATCCCAGCCCCTAGCCTCCCTCTCTGGTCTTGTTCTGCTCAATGTTCTGCAATGGCATAAGAGGCCACTGCAGTATTGAAGAAGGAGCCCTGAATTTGGGGGTTGGGAGAGCTTTTGAGGATTTGGCCTAGCTACTTTCTAGCTACCTGACCCTGGATTAAAGACCAAAGTATTAACTTCTCTGGGCCTCACAATACCCATGATACCCGCAAAGCCTATGGATTTATAACATGTTATAAAAATGTTAAGATGTTATTTTATTCCCCTGTTCATCCTACCTCTGATTTATTGTAATAATCAAATAAGAAAACAAATATGAAACAGCTTTGAAAGTTAAAGGCAATATGGAAATTGAGGATATTGATATTGTGATTGTAGACTGACAGTCACATCACAGAAGGAGTCCCTGCCATTTATTTTTTTTTAAAGATTAGTTCTCCTAGGACATGCATAGTGGATTCTGATTTGCAATGATTTGAGTTAACTGTGCTGGCCGCATCTCCCAAGCTGGGATGTGCCCTGCTCTGCAGCACGGTATTAAGAGGGCGGTATTAAGGGCCTTCCTGGGGGGCACTTCAGGGACTGAAGGTTACCTCTGAAAGGCATGCCTGCCCGAGTTTTGAGGTACATTTTGCTGTTCCTCTTCTTCCGCATTTTCTTGGCATTGTAGCCGATGCTATTGCAACGGTTCTTCCGGCAGCTGAGACAGATCCCCTTTTTGAAGCGGTTGGAGTCGGTACACTGGAAGGCAAAGCTTGGCTTGTCCTGATTTACCAGGGAGTCCACGAAGAGGTGGACAGCACGCTCGTGCTCACATTTCACCACCTCTGTGATCGCTGGGGGAGGGACAGACAGAAAGCATGCAAGATAAGCCTTGCTCGATGGTTAGACCAGTCGGTCAGTAAGTCCTGCATACCTCGTCACTGACAGCTGTTTACTGTTACTGTTAGTATTTTTGTTTGTGTAATTCTTAATTCGTGTCCCATGATGTGCTGGGCTTCTATTAGGATGTAGAAGAATTTAAGGCCATTCTGCAGCCTAACTGTTCACTGCCTTGGTGGGAAGACAGCACTAATACACACAAAGCAATAAAGAGCAAGAGAATGCATATAATAAGTGCTAAATAGGGTGATACAGACCTGTTATGCAGTATGAGTCACTGACTCCTAACAGAGTTGTACAGTCAGAAAATGCTGAAAATGGATCAAATGCTAAACATCACCTAATCCAGAGCTCAGCAAAATATGGCTTGTAGGCTAACCACCTTTTGTTTTGTTTTTGTTTTTTTAGAGACAGGGTCTCTCTATGTTGCCCAGGCTGGTCTCAAACTCTTAGGCTCAACTGATCCTCCCACCTTAGCCTCCCAAGTAGCTGGGACTACAGGTGTGTGCTACTGTGCCTGGCTGGCTACCTGTTTCTGTAAATAAAGTTGTGTTGGAACATAGTCACAGTCATTTGTTTACATATTGTCTGTGGCCGCTTTTATGCTACAGCAGCAGATTAGAGAAGTTAAAGCAGAGACTACATGGCCCGCAAAGCCTAAGATATTTACTAGCTGACTCTTAAAGAAGATGTGTACCAACCTCATTCGAGTCCAATCCCTTCAATTATAGATTATGACCCAAAGGCCCAAAGAAGTGAGGTAACTTGCTTAGGGTCATACGGACAGTTGGCTGCAAAGTTAGGAGTGTAATTTGGATTTTCTGGCCCATAGTACACCATTATTTCTTGTAACCAGAGGCTAAAGCCAATAATTTAAGTAACTCCTGGGACCTTAAAAAAATTTGGCAAACTGACCCCCAACCCTGCCTCATTGGCACCACCAGCCTTAAGAAATGCCATCATCCCATAGCCTGGGGCAGGGGTGAACTCCACTTGCATGGACATCCAAGCCCTAATGGGGCTACTTGGATATTAATCACATTGGGAGAAGGGAAATGAGGGACAGAGTGGAACATCCAGAGGGCAGCGCATCAAAGTAGAGAGAGCTGATGGGGGCCAAGACAACAGACGCTGCCAGCATCCAAGGCAGTAAGAGGATGGGAAATCCAGAAAGGGATTGTCACTGGGCTACGTGTCAGTTTCAGCAGCAAATTCGGTTCATCCCAAGTTTGCTAAGAATGCACTCAGGCATTCAGAAGATAAATTTTAAGTGAACAGAGACAGCCTCTTGTTTTTGCTTCTTTAAAATGTTACCAAAATTTAAAATATAGTATATTCATGCTGTGGAATACTATACAGCCTATAAAAAGAATAAGGTTAGTAAATATATGTGCTCTCATGTTTAAGAATATCCATAATATATTATAACTGAAAAAAGAAAGTTGCAGAACAAGGTGATTTTGAAAAAAAAAAAAAATACTTACACACATAAACTTGCAAAAAAAATAAGCCTGGAAGTATACACAAAAGTGTTCATACTGGCTATGTCTGAAGAGTGGAAGTAGGGTGGCGGTGGGAGTGAGGGGGAATTTTACTTTTTGCTTTATGCAAGTCCATACTGCTTGATTTTTTTCCAACAAACATGCATGTATTCTTTTTGTCATAAAAAGAAATTAATCTGGCTGTGCAAGGTGGCTCATGCCTGTAATCCTAGTAGTCTGGGAGGCCGAGGGGGACAAGCGCTTGAGCCCAAGAGTTCGAGATCAGCCTGGGCAAGAGCGCGACCCCATCTCTACAAAAAGCAGAAAAATTAGCCGGGCATGGTGGCACCCGCCTATAGCCCCAGCTACTCGGGAGGCTGAGGCAGGAGGATCACTTGAGCCCAGGAGTTTGAGGTTGCTGCGAGCTAGGGTGACACTGCTACCCTCATGCCTGGGCAACAAAGTGAGACACTGTCTCTAAAAAGAAAAAGAAGAAGAAAAGAAGTTAATCAATAACAACTGCAATCCTGAAGCAAGAGAACGCACTGCAGGGACCACTGGGTGGCTATTAACAGCTTGTGGGATGATGAGAAACATTAAACACAGGGTTAGAGGGCCACTGTGGGGGGAGGTGGGAATAATGAAATGAACGGTGCTGGGAACACTAAGGCTCTGGCCGATTTAGAAGGAGATAGGTTTATACCCAGTCAAACATGAAGCAGAAAAAAAAGGAACTCACTTCCATATGAAATTGATCCCAAGACATCATTGAATCCACAGCCTGGCTGGAAGTCGCCCCCATTGGGGTAGATGTCGATGTGGCCCACAGGCCTCTGAATCCCAATGCTCAGGCCAAAGGAACGCGTGTAGGTGTGGAGGACGTCCACGAAGTCTGCATCGTCGGGGGACAGCCTCTTGTGGATGTCCACCCCTTCAAACATGGGCCCGGCAGGATCCAAACCTGTAAGAAAAGGGAGGCCCAAGATGGACTACATCAGAGGCACCAAGTCAAGGAGTCATGATTTAAAGCGAAGTCCAGGTGTGCAGAATGAAGATGCCTTCTGAGCCCGGCCCCGTGAATCAAGACATGGAAGGCATGGCAGAAACTAAGGAACCCATTTCCAAATTTTTCCAAGATTATTAATAAATTCTCCTGTTTCGGAACTCATATTTTCTTCTGAAGCCTGCACCTGTCCTGATACTTCAGGTGACCCAGTAAACCAGCCATAAGGTTCACCTGCCATGCAGCTCTGACAAGCCACAGACTGTTAGACCTGGAGCAGTTCTAGGAAGACCCCTGGCTGCCTGAAACTAAGCCATTTTTCCCATTCATTCTGCCCCTGAGAGCCCTCCAAAGCCCTAAATTCAGCAGAATTTTTACAGAATAACTAAGCTGCCTACATCCTTCTGGAAGGAGAACTCAGTGTCCCCAAACTGAGCTATTTGTATGTGGACTTACTCTTCCCCTTCCTTTAGGTATGAGTCAGGCCCAGGGTGGAATGGTGAGAGAGGAGGCTACAGCCGATGCACTGGAATCCATACACCAAGACTCCAAAATTCCTGTTTTTCAGCCACAATGAGAAAATCCTGTTGCCTCCAAACTTTCTGTATTGAGCAGGCAAGTAGCACTGGTTCTCACATTTGAAACTGAACAAATAGCACTGGGCAGCTTGTTAAAAATTTAGATTCCACGTGTAGCTATAAAAAACTCTGGAAGGACACGCAAGCAATTAGTTACCTGTGTGTTTATGCGCTGAGGGAGAGGGCGAGTAAGGGAACAGAGCAGGTAGCTGCAACAGCGAGAGAGACTTCTCACCACCTTTTAATTTTAGAACCACAGGTATGCAAAACCACTCAAAGAAAAGAATGTACAGAGCATAAAATGCAAATTCCCCAGGTCCCTGGCCTCCTAGAGACTCTAATCAGTAGGTGTGGCATGGAGCCCAGAAATACAGATTGATTTTCCAGGTGTTCCTAAAAGTAGGTGGTCTGTGGACCAAATATTGAAAACTTCCCTGTGCTTCAGTATCATCTATAAAATGGAACTTGAACGCCTTGATTCCTACAGTTCATGTGAGATATTAAGAGAGTGAGTGCTTGTTGATATTAGCTGCTATTACCAAGCCCAAGTGACTATAAGAACCAGATTCATCCCAATGAGGAGGGCTCGTTGTCCCACAGACACACAGGGAGGATGTAGAGAAAGCTAAGAAACAAGGTGTGCTGTAGGGGAGGGGCCTCTAGAACAGCGGTTCGCCACTAGGAGTGATTTTGCCCTCCTAGCATTGTCCAAGACCTGTTTGTTGTAATTGTGGGGGAGAGCTACTAGCATCTAGTGGGGACAGGCCAGGGAGGTAGCTAAACATCCTACAATGTACAAGACAACCCCTCCACACAGACACACACACACAACAAAGCCCCAAAAGTCAACAGTGTGTAGGCTGAGAAACCCTGGTCTAGAAACACTGGGGCCAGGGGGAGATGTGGCCAAGAAGAGAGTACTGAAAAGAGGCACCGGGTAACAGAACCGTGTTCACCAGACCCCAGCACAATAGCACCAGGCGGCACATTGGAAGACTTGAAAGGGTAATTTTAGCATAAACGAAGGCAGAGCTATTGTCTAGCGTGGACGGTCAACTTGTAGAAGTCATTATTCATGACAGCTGGTAGAGGCTGAAACTCTTCAACAGTTTCCAGAAGAAGTTGAGATAAATTTACGTATGACCGAGGCAGAAGGGGAGCCCAGACTGCCTGGGGGCTCATCTCAAGCCCCTGACCCAAAAGAAAGATGACACAAAAGCAGTGTTCTCCCGGAATAGCCCGTGATGACCCATTTTAGAGGCTGCAAGGACCACAGGACTGACACAAGTGGCCTCTCCCCACCATGCCCTCTGGAGGAAAAAAAAAAAAAAAGAAAGGAACATTCTGCTTTGCAACCAACACAAGAGAGGCTCTTTGCTCAGTGCGAACAAAGGTCCCCACCAGACGGTCAGTGCCATGGAAACCTGGCTGTGCTGGAGGAATGCAGGCGGCTGACAGGGCTTCACAGCCCGCTGGCGGGCAGGCTGGGCCTTCACCTACCCAGACTGAGCCGGCCTGCCCTGCTCCGACTGTCCCTCACACGTATTCTGTGGCCCACAGACTCGGGGAAAGTGGCACAATGTACGTTTTTAACTGAGAATGAAAAGGAGAGCTGCCCCCTCCAAAACAGGGAAGATGAAGATGAAGATCCCGCAGCTCTTCCATTCATAGATTCCCCCAAACGTGCTCTGTCCAGCACAAGGCACGTGCACACACACACACACACACACACACACACACACACACACACAAGCAGAAGAACCTCTGGGGCTGTGGATTCTGGCCTGGCAGGGCAGAGTCTGCGGTACTTCAACAGCTACTTTATCTCTCCCCATAGAAGAGGGGCAGCGTGGCAGCGTGGGTAGGTGCAGGCTGTGGACTCTGACGGCCTGGGTTTGAATCCTAGCTCTGCCACTTACAGGGCGCAAGATATCAGGCCCATTTACTCATCGCTGAGTCCTGGTTCCCCCTCTGTGAAATGTGCAGGGGTGCTATGTGGCTCAGAGAGAGCATAAAGTACTTGTTACACATGAGGTACATGACATTAGCTAGCATCTAGCCCAGCTTATGTTAGTTTTTCTAAAACTCATATTTCTTAAATGCATTAATCTGCTTGCTTATTTATTTATGACTAAGTAGACACAGGTTCAATTAGAAATACATGACCTCTTCCCTGGTATATCACAGACTCCTCTCAGAAGCCTGAGAGAGAAAAACTCAAGAAAGCCTCAGGCCACACCTTTCGGCCCAAGCAAGACTGGGGTTCAGGTGTCCCCTTGCAGGCCCCAGGCTAAGGACTACCTGGTGGCCTCTGCATGGTAGCATCACTGCCTCAAGACCCCACGCAAGCTGCAATCTCTTCCCTCTTACCAGCTGGGGAAATCTACCAACTAACGGGGGATGACAGGCATGTCAGGTGAGCCAAATGCCCTCCAAGCTGCTGCTTGGCCACTGGACAGAGACCAGGCCCCTGCTCCACAGAGAAAGGCCAGAGTTAAGGGGCTGTGCTCAGGTCCCCATGCTCTACGCAGACATCACAGAGCACTGATTAGCATTCTGCCTGGCTCCCCTGCCCACCACAGCAGAAGCCCTCCTCCCGGCAGCTGCTACTCAAACAAGCAGAGGGAAAGAACTGGAAAGTTCCCCCACCAGCCCCATTTCATTTCAGATTTAGAAATAGGGAAAGACAGGATCTGCAGTGTGTTGCCAACAGCACTCTGGGCCCTGGCTCTGGTGTGCACTGCAGTTTGAACCCAGCTGGCCAGGATCTGAAACATCAAGCCTGTCATTTGGGGGCTAGGCAGAGGCTCTCAGACAATAGAACCCAGAGTGGTTTCAGGTCAAACTGCTCTGCACCAGCAGCAGGTTAATGAGCAGTCAAGGGTTGGCCACACAATCACAGCCCACTTTGGACAGCTCAGGCCCCCCAGTCTTGGAAATCAAAATAAAGCTCTCAAGCTACGGTAAATCAAATTGTTGGATCTAAAGGAATGTGCATTCATCCGTGTTCGTGTGTGTGCATGTACATATTAGACTTAAGCCCAGGGACAGTTATTGAGGAGGGCCAATAAAACCTCACAAATGTTCTTTTAAAAAATCTACCATGCCAGGCTGGGTGTGGTGGCTCATGCCTGTAATCCTAGCACTCTGGGAGGCCGAGGCGGAAGGATTGCTTGAGGTCAGGAATTTGAGACCAGCCTGAGCAAGAGTGAGACCCCGTCTCTACCAAAAACAGGAAAAAACTAGCCAGGCATGGTGTCACGTGCCTGTAGTCCCAGCCACTCGGGAGGCTGAGGCAGGAGCCCAGGAGTTGGAGGTTGCAGTGAGCTATGATGACGCCACGGCACTCCACCCGGGGCAACAGAGCGAGACTCTCAAAAAACAAAACAAAACAAAACTACCTACCAGCTTGTCACTGAAACCTGAAATTCCACCTTTACTAAAAATCATTCTTTTGCTAAGAACTCTCTTCCACCTGAGTCCTGTTTTAAAATGAAAACTCTACAGGGAAAAATACTGTTCAAATTTTTCCTTCGAGGTGACCACCCTGACTATCTTAGAGGAGAGGGGGAAGCTGGAGTGAATACAAATCAAATAATGTAGAAGAAGGATAAAAGTGCAGGCCAACAAATTTACCATTAATGTTAGCCTAGAGGAAGCTCTGTGTACATATCTGAGGGGCCCAAAATGGGAAAGACAACCTCTCACACTCTTCATAACCATGAAATGATTTAATCCAAACTCTAACGTTAACAGCTCACTAAGGGCCAGGTGCAGTGGCTCACACCTGTAATCCCAGCACTTTGGGAAGCCGAGGCCGGAAGATCCGCTGAGGCCAGGCATTCAGTACAAGCCTGGGCAACATAGCAAGAACCTGCCTCTGCAAAAGACTCCAAAAATTAGCTGAGCATGGCAGTGCACACCTGTAGTCCCAGCTACTTGGGAGGCTGAAGCAGGAGGATTGCTTAAGCCCAGAAATTCGAGGTTACAGTGAACTATGATTGGGCCACTACACTCCCGCCTGGGTGGACAGAGCAAGGCCCTGCCTGTGGGGGGAAAAAAAAGCTCACTAAGCTGCAATTTTCAAGACAGATGGAAAACTTGATTTTCTATTGACCACCTGAGTATTGATCTCAGAAAGCTCTTTAATTACTAAGTTTAAGTACCCATTCTAAATATGTAGCTATCATTAGCCATCATTAATAAATATGCCACCTTAACAGTGGTAAGTGGCTATTGGTAGATGAAATAGAAATTGAGGGAAAATTCGAACTAGAATTTTGGAGCGGGTTCTTTGTTTGTTTCGTGGTTTTGTTTTCTTTTGTTTTAGAGACAGAGTCTAGCTCTGTCATGCAGGCTAGAGTGCAGTGGTGTCATCATAGCTCACTGTAACCTCAAACTCCGGGCCTCAAGCAATCCTCCTGCCTCAGCCTTCCCAATAGCTGGAACTACAGGTGCACAAGTGAAAACTAGAATCTACTATTCATTCTTTCCCCTTGAGTCCCTGGAGCATCCGTGGGTGGAGACCCGAAGTGAACAGTCAAAAGCCTGCAGGCCAGGGCTCCGTCCAGCTTCTGCTCTTGAGTTGTTAGCTGTTTGCCCTTGAGCAAGTTGCCTCATCTCTCTGCTTCCTCACCTGTTAGACTAGATCAGGGGTTTTCAAACTGTGTTCCCTGATACTCTGAGATCCTGGGATTCCTCCAAGGAAGGGGAAGGCCCAAATTGCAAGGCTAACACTACCATCTCTCTGTCTCATATATTGGGGCCCCGTGCAAGTTCAATTTGAAAAAAAGGTTCTAAGACTAAAAAGAACATTTGAAAAGCTCTGGATTAGATATTCCCCAGTTTCCTTCTAAAGCTAACCCTCTATGACTCACTCAAGCTACCTCATTTGGGAGCACTCTGGTTCGGAAAAAGCAGGTTGGCGGCATAGCTGAGGGAGCTTAGGATTGCCCACTGTTGGTGGTTGGAGCAGAGCTTACCTGTGATTCTGCCCACTGTTCCTTTCACGAAGTTGCCGGCATACCCAGCCACGTGCGCTCCAAGGCTGTAGCCGATCAAGTGAACATTTCCGAGAGAAAAATCATCCTTCTCCTGCAGGATGGCACCAAAGCGTGTGAGCTGAGTGAAGAGTGTGGTCCTGCGCCCCCAGAGTCACCAGCAATTCAACAGCTCAGTCACGACGAGGAGGAAATGCAGGGCCGTGGGCACAGAGACTCCCTGGGGCCTCACTGGCACTGCTGGCCATGGAACATGTGTGGGTCACAGCCAGGTAAGGGCAGGCCAGAAGGACTTGGTGGCACTTCAAATGCCAAGTACTGGGGGCAGGGTGGAGGGTGTGACTAGAGTGCATACCTGGCTGTTCCCCACACATTTTCCATTCTTTCTAAGGTAGGGAGGGGTGGTGGTGCGGAGGTCAAAGCCTCTTTGGAGACTGAAGTGCCAACCACAGCCCCTGCAGCAGAACGCTCCCTGCCTGCCCTCCTAGGCCCTGCCCTCCCTCCCAGCCCCAGGAGCTGCCACCTCCCCACCACAAGCCTGCCTGGGACCCAGAGTGGAAGCGTCATCCCCTGACCAGGCACTCAGCTAGCGGGAGAGAGGAGGTAACCTCAAGGCTTGGGAATCATACTCTATAAAACACTCTGTAAAACAACTAAGGCAGAGGTCAGAGGGACTGCTCGAGAATCCTGATCAGAGTTCGTCAGATTCCACGGGTGCAAGGAAGGTCAGGCCGCAATTGCCCTAATGATCAGGTTGCTCTGACAGTGTACCCCCGCTTTGCCTGCCCCCAGCCAAGCCCGCTGATCTCAGGCAAATCATTAACCTATAAAGAGTAAATGCAAGATCTCAAGATCTGTTTCCACACTTATTATTTTAAACAAGGTATTAGGCTGCATTTTTTGAACCAACCCCCTCCCCACCCTTAGCACACCCACGCTTCAGAGGCAAGAGCAGGCTTCAGTAGGTATTTAAGATTACAAGCCTGTCCAACCAACCTCGTCTCTAGATCAGGAAAAAAAACCCATAAGGCCAATTTTCTTACAGCAAATAAAGTAACAGGACAAATTCAGAGATCTATGAAGAACCAAAAGGCTCTCTAAAAGTCCCAGCTTTCAAGTATTTCAAGCAATCCTTAATTCAGTAACCCTTTCAACCCCAAAGATTTTGATCAGACTCTGGAAGTTCACAGCTACACACATCTGCTCTCTATTTCTTAGGAGGCTTCAGGTTTGAGATCCCGCTGGTGGAAGGAGATGAGTCCGTTTCGTCCCCCGTTACCTGCAGCCAGTCGAGCATCCTTGCAATGCTGTGTCCCACCACCCTCGTGTTATTGACCGCGTCTGTGTAAAGCTGGTGCGCCAGCGGGAGCCAGTCAACCACCACCACGTTGGCATCTTTCTCTCGTGTCTGCAGGGCTGACACCAGGTTGTACAACCAATTCTCAAGCATGCCACTCATCTGCAGAGAAAATGGGAAACTTTTTACAATTCTTTTTCTGAGTTTCTGAAATCCTAATACCTATGGAATTCCATTTCATGACCTTCTCCCCAGCCGATTTTAGAACCTGCACTTTGGCTGCTCAGGGACCGACCATCTGCACGTGAGCAGGCCCAGCCGTGGGCAGAATTGCCACATGGGTGTTTGGCTTGCATCTTTCTTTACCTCTCCAGTTTGTCCCATCAAAGTGTTCCCAGCTGGTGTCCTCTGCTGTTGCCCCCACTGTCTGATAGGGCCACTGTGAGATATGTGTTGGTGGTGATACTGACATGAGGTTAGTCTGAGGTTAGTCCCTGTCACAGGCAGGCAAGTGGCCTGGTCTACCCTTCAAAGGCAGCTGGGGAGGGTTGCCCTGGAGAACTAGCTTCTCTCTTAGAGATGCAGGGAGATGCTGTCTCCTAGGCAAACGCAGAGTTCACAAATGACCCCTTCCCACAACCCATCTCTGCCATCCCTCTTGACCCCAGAGAAGGGAAAATCTGTCCCTGGAATCCCAAATTAGAACTCAGAACACACTTTCCCACAGAAACAGAGTTATAAATGGTGACTAGGTCCAGTTGTAAACCTATCCACAAGTACATTATCAAATAAATAGATTTTCTGTGCCTAGCCTGGGAACCCAAACACCATTTACAATCTGGCTTCTATGGGAAATTGCTGTTCCAAGTTCCAAGCAGATTACAAAAGAACTTTCTGGAATGCAACCTATTTGTAAGTCACAGGCAGTTTGTATTTGCATTTTGACAGGGGGCCTTAAAAAGTTTCAAACGCACGATTCCAGTGGCAGGCTGTGGGATGAGGGTGGACGGACAGTTCCTCAATTGTCTCTCCATCCACAATAGGGAAGTAGGCACGTACCCTCCCCCTGCCCACAACCACAACTGTTGATGATAGACAGAAAGACACAGAAAGCATGTAACAGATATGAATTTCTCATCATTAAGAGGAGGAATGTCCCCTCCCAATTAGCCCAGGCAGAAATCTGCTCCCTTAATAGTGCCATTTTCCTGCAGACTGTCATTATATGAATGAATGAATCCCTGGCTGGTCAAAAGCTTCTGAAGCTGAGCATTGAAGCCCTTTTTTGTTGCAGTTTGTCATGGGCCTTTCAATGTGAATTGCTCAGCTAGGGCACATAAAGAGCCCCAGTGCCTTTAAACGGGGCTATCTCTATGCAAACAGGAGGGCACCATGCCAAGGGCGACCAGCAATCCGGCCAGCTGGCTCCTCATAGATTCTCAGAGCCAGTCAAGTTGCTTCACGCAGCTCAGCTCTCACGGCGGGACGGCCCCCTCAAGGCAGCGGTTGACCAGTGTAATTAAGTGTAATTAGAGAGGTCCTTAAGAGCCAGTGGAGCTGGGCCGCTGCCCTCAGGAGAGCCACTTTCTGAAAGCCTGTTGTGTGCCAGCATTTAATACCACCCTGCTGGAGTCCAGATTGCCCCCTCAGCGAATGCCCATTACATGCTTCACAGCTGTCTGAAATACAAGCAGCCCACAAGGAAAGGGGGGAAGAGGGTTTGGAATCTGGAAGCACCAGTATTCTTCTTAATTGACCAAAACAAAGGGAACCGAATGGTAGAAAGCTGCAGCGCTCCCTCCCCCGGCTCACCGTCCATCCGTGAATGATGAAAAAGGTTTTGGCTGTCATGTTGAAGCCGCAGTCTTCCAAGGGCTGGCTGTGGCCAAGGGAGAGGTAGCATCCTTCATGCTCTGGGTCCTTAGTGGTGCGGAGGCTAAATCTCACATCAGAGGATTTGGCTGGAGGCTGGACATCCCTGGATTTGCCGAGCTCATCTGGGGAGAAAGAAAACAGCGTGGGTGCATCCAGCAGACTTGGGTAGTGAGAGATCTAGGGTCTAGCTCTAGTCCAATCTAGAAAATTAAGCTATCTGGGTTTCAGTATGCATACCAGCTAAACGTTCCCTTTTTACCTCCCAGAAGAAATGTGAAGATATTGTAAGATGGACATTTTATCTATACTTAATTAGTATTAATTAGTCGCTAGTATTAATTACTGTGACTCTAAAATAAATAATTCTCTTTCTGGCTTTTCTTTCTTCTTCCTTATCACAATGAGTTCTTTCTTCCCTCAAGTCCCTACTTTTAGAGTATGGGTCCTCAACTCTTTTCCGGAAATGCTTGGGAGTTTCGGAATTCAGGTGAGTTTCAGAATTCAGAAATTTTCAGAGTTTAGAAAGGTATTATGGAACGTACACTATATATTATATAACACTCCCAGTGACATCCCCCATGAATCAAACACACATATTTCTACAGAGAAATGCGTGACCACTCATACTTGAGGGCAAAAATAAAGATTATTACTAGCTCCTGTCAGCTCAGGTCAGGTTTTGCTGCCAAATGGGTTCAGATCAGGTAAGGCCAGGTCTTGCTGCCCAACAAGTTACCAAACAAATTTTCTAATTTTGAGAGACTTGGGGGTTTGGAATCGGAGGAAAGAGGTTGTTGGCCCATGTGCAATGGGCTTCCCTAAGTGTTCCCATCTTGATTCCAGCACTTACTCAAGGGCCTCGGGCATCCTCCGTGCGCCATGTGGTGGTGGACATGTGCCAGGCATTCATCAGTTTGTTAAATACATGACTAAAGCCATGGAGAAACTTCTAAGAACAGCAAAACCGCCCCTTCCAGCTCCACTGCTCACACACACTGCTCACCTAGGAGGTGGCCCTGCTCCCAAAGGGCAGCCCATGTCCCCAGTGGTCTTTGGCCTTTTAACACTAAGTAGGTGCTGTTGTTGCCACACTATTTCAATAAGACAGTCATAAACGGCCTTATCCAGTGCACTTTCAGCACCCTGCAAAGCTGGGTGACAGGATAGTATCAGACTCTCCTGTCACCCAGCAATCATCAGGGAAGGATACCAAATGACCATCCCAGGAGCTTAATTTATCCCAGAGTTAAGAAGCAACAGGAATTATGGAAAGAGAGACCATAGTGGTGGAGAGGGTGGTTGGAGGGGAGAAGAGGGGGGAAATACACCAGATGTAAGAGGGATAAGTTTCCAGAAAATGCATCTAAATACACATGAGCAGAACTCGGGTTAACTCTCAGGAAAATAATGAACAGAAAGCCCCCACCAGCAGAAATTTGAACTGTGGACATAACTCGTTTGACAGCTCCCCAACTTCTACCCAGATAGCCACTCATACACAGACCAGATGGGGACATCTAGGAGCAAAGGAATCTGCTAGATACCTCCACATATCGAAAAAGAAGGTTCCCCTTGGCATCTGGCTTGCTCTGACTCCACAGTTCTCCAGCTTCTGTCCTACTACTTTTGGCCTGGGTCACTTCAGCCTCTGGGACTTCATGATTGCTCTTCACCCAGATGTCCTCATGGCTCGTTCTCTCACCTCCTTCAGCTCCTTGCTCAATGGTCAACGCTCAGGCGTTTTCTGACCACATAGTAAACTTGCACCACCTTCCCCCACCAGCGTGCCACGCCTCTCTCCTCTGCTCTCTTTTTTTCCGTAACACGGAGCACCATTTATATTTTAATGAGTTTACTGTCTGCCTTCCCACCACCAAAGTATAAACTCCATGAGGGCAGGGACTGTCATCCGTTTTGTTCACTGCTATCACTCCTGCTCCCAGAAGAGTGCCTGGCACTAAGATTGCATGGATGCATGCAATCAATACTTTTTGGAATGAATGAAATGACTCATGAATACTCAGAAGCATAGAACGCAGAAGTTGGAAGGAACTTCAGCATTTTACAGGAGAGGAACTAGAGATGCGACTTACCCCAGGGAATGCTTCTAGTTAGCACTAGGATCGGAAACATGTTAAACAAAGCAAGGCTTTCCATTCACTCAACTTAACCCTCCCACACGTACAGAAGCTGACATGGACCAACATTAACTGGCCCATCCTCAGCAGATTAGTAGAAGATGAAATGACGGGGTTTGGTTTAGAGGCTCCCCAGTCCTTCACTGCTTAACCAGCTGACTTAGTACTTGCTCTGGGTGACCTGACTCTCACACCAGAACAGGCTGCCTCCATTGGAAGAGACTGCCATAAAGAACCCAAGGAAGAAAAGGTAGAAGCTAGGAGGAGGAAGGGAAAGAGGAAGAGTTGGGGATGGAAAGAGTGTCGGGGAGGAAGAGGCTGGCAACCTGGAGGAATAAGCCTGGCAGCTTCTTGGCACAAGTTGCCCACCAGATAGACACTCCCTTCAAGTACTAATCAAACCAAAGCCAGCCACCCTGCCACCTTCATTTTGATGACATCTACACTGAGATTAAAAGGAGGGGCACCAGGAGACAGCTCTTTCTAACAACCTTCTTGCCTCGCAAAACTCCAAAATCAAAGATGAGGAGAAGGCTTTCAGAGCTGCTGGCAGGCACCCCGGCAGGCTGGACAGCACCGATCAATGGCCCATATAATGGAAGGAGCTGGGGGCAGGAGAGAGGGCACGAGCCAGCGCACCTTCCTGCCTGGTGGCTCTGGCATGACTTGCTGGGGGATGCCCTCATCAGAAGCGCCGAGGAACAAGTGGACTCCAAGGCGGATTAGGAGGAGAAAATGGACAGCGCAGTGGGAAAGGAAGGAGGACTTCCTAGAAACAAGGAGGGACTGAAGAAGAATCGGCAAGACAGAGGTGCCCCGGCACAGAAAAGAAGTGGGGGGTAATACAAACAAATGCACGTTACCTTCCAGCCGTCCCTCCGGACCAAGGGGTGCGGGGCTTCCCGCGGCAGAGCAACAATAGACGCTCCAGAAACAGAGCAGAGGAACACAGTTTCTCATCCTTCCCAGCCACACCCCCTCCCCTGGAACAGGAATTTAAAAAAACAAAAAACAAAAAAAACCCTCTTGGTGTTTCCAGCGATCTGGGCCGGTAGGACCAGAAGTGGGCAGCCCTCGCTGGGCCGGAGGGTGCTGGGCTGGACAGATGAGGAGGACAAGGTGGAAGATGAAATCCTGGCTGCGCCGGGCCGCGCGCGGCGGGAGGGGGCGAGTGGGACCGGGTTTGCGCCAGAACCAGGTCTGCCCTCGCCCCGCGCCTCCTGGAAGCCAGGGCTCGCCGCTGTCACGCCGCGAGCTCCCGGCGAAGTAGTTTTTTAAAGTATTGGAGTCATCTGACCCATCGCCAGATGGTGATTTGCATAATTTATTCCCGTCTCCGGAATCTGATTGGTCACACCTTCGGCGTCGCCGGAACCAAGACTGCCGAAAGTTTGAATGAAAGCGCCGCACAGTCACGGCGTGGACCTGCACGCTCTGCCCCGCGTCTCCCTCGCCCGCTGGCCGGCGGCCGCGACTCCAGCCACCTCCGCTTCCTCCCAGTGCCCTCCCCTGGACCCCCAGATGCTCGAGGGGGCATTTCCCCGAAACCCTGCGTCCGCTGGGGACCAGATTCCTGGAGAAGGGAGATCATCCTCTCCGAGGTGCAAAGCTACGCTCGCTCCAAGCATGGGCTCTCGGCGGGGCCCGGGCCGTTGGAGGAAAACCACCTGGTCACCCTCTTGGTCTTTCTCTTCTCCCTCCCCTCTTGCCCAGATAGGACAGCAACAGGTGCCGTCAGAGCGATCGATAATAACCCGGCAGAGCTGAGGGGCCGGGGGCTGTGGCCCGCGCTTCAGGGGCGCACAGACCCGCTCGTAGTCCTCGCTCCGCAACTAGCTGCAAAACTCCGGGTGAGCCTCGCAACTTCCCCGGGGCTGTTCTCCCGTCCGCAATGCGTCGGTGATAAAAGTTCCCGCCGCTTAGGGATGTTGGGAAAATAAAAGTTCAAGGAGTAAAACTCCCAGTGCGGCGCCCCGCACGCGGTGAGCGCCCTCCCACCGTGGGGTGGAGGACTCGAGGGGAGCAGGCGACCCTCCCCAAAGGGAACGGTGAGCGAGCTTGGGGGGCTAAGACGCGTGGCCAGAGCCCAGTCTTGGCCGACGCGCAGTCTCTACCGGATGCGTGGAATTAAGCACCTTCCCTCTCTCTTTTCTCCATCACTTTCCCCTCCCCTCCTTCCCTGTGTTGATCCGGGTCGCGGGGCAGAAAGCGGCGAGCGCACGAGGCCTTGGCCGGGAGTCTGCGTCTGGCTCTGGGGAGCTGGGGTTGAGCCCGGGACACCCGCGGGGCGGCTGCGCCCACAGCCAGTGGGGACGCTGGGCCCGCGGGAGAGGTGGGACGCGCCGCGGCAGGGCTGCGCACCGCCATCCAGCCTCGCTCCAGCCAGGAGAGCTGGCCCTGCAAGGCGGCACCCTTGACCGCGAGTAACCCCGCGGTCGCCGCGAACAGGTCCTGCCCCTGCCTCGCGAGGGAAACCCCAGCAGCAGTCCAGCGGTCCTTCCTCCCTAGTGTCGGGGCTCGGGCTTGAGAGACCTGTGCAGAGAAACCCGTCTGGAGCCAGCAAGTCCTGTGCCAATCTACCTTTGTTTACTTTTGTTACTTCTGCTGCCAGCGCAGCTTGCTTTCTTCCTCCTGCGGGCCATCAGTCATTAACAAGAGGCAATTGATGTATATGTATATCAATTGTTCTGCTTCATATTTCCCAGAAGAGCAACAAAAAAATCTGAGGCGCCTCCTGCGTGGAGGAATTCCAGCTGAGGAGTCTCAGCTGGCTTTATTTTTGAGTATAGAACTCAATGGGATGGTAAATGTCACACCCAGAAATGTTACTCCTGTCCCCCTCTCGCTCTCCCTCTTCACTGGCAAACTATACAGATAAGTCAGATGTTATCCCCATTTTACAGATGGGAAAACAGTCCTGGGGACAGGCTGCCTGTTTGAAGTCTCACAACAGGTCTCTCTCTTCTGCTCTAGGTTTAATTTGGCCACTTGACCTCTAAATATAAACCCTTGGCAACCTCGTCTCCATCTCCTTAGTGGCTGAGGCAGGGAGTAAGCTGTGATCAAATATCCGCTTCCCTGCCTGAGCATGGTGGCTCCTAGCACTTTGGGAGCCCAAGGTGGCAGGATCTCTTGAGGACAGGAGTTAGAGATCAGCCTGAGCAACATAGTGAGACCCTCATCTCTAAAAAAATCAAAAAGTTATCAAAACCACAATGAGATATCACTTATCTCCAGTGAGATTGGCCTTTATCAAAAAGTCCCAAAACAATAAATGTTGGCGTGGATATGGAGAGATAGGAACACTCATACACTGCTGGTGGGACTGCAAACTAGTGCAACCTCTGTGGAAAGCAATATGGAGATACCTTAAAGAGATACAAGCAGAAGTACCATTCAATCCAGCAATTCCATTACTGGGCATCTACCCAAAAGAGCAAATGATACTCTGTAAGAAAGACACCTGCACCCGAATGTTTATAGCAGCACAATTCACAATTGCAAAGATGTGGCAACAACCCAAGTGTCCATCAATAC